TCCGAGCAGTTCCAATAGGGTCTTCGCATCCTTTTGGGTGCTCGGACCCTAACTAGACTGGTGTGTTGGGTTGCTGCTGGGAAAGACTTAACAATCCAAATGTTGACATGACAATCATGTCTTAATTTTTCAGTTTGATCATTTTGGCCTTATTGCTTCTAAACATTTAAGTGATTTCCATAGTTTGTGATGGATTTAGGTTTCAGAGTTTTAAGATTATCACTTGATGCTGCTTTGATTGTAAATCCACTTTTATCCGTCACTTTAACAGGTGTTGTTGGGGGATGTTGGGTGTTACACTGTTAACTTTTTGGAGCACACAAGTCTCAAGATCTGACATGAAGTCAGAAAACACCTAAATCCACCTGGTTGGAATTGTGCTGTTGTGTTTAGCTGGCGAACAAACGGAACATGTGTGTGAGGCTTTCTTGTGCACCACCTCAACGTTTGCACACATGAGAAGTTTACTGTGACTATAATCTACATTTAAGCTGCCTCTCGTTAAGCCTTTTTGGATTTAAAATAACATACCCACACTACTGCTAAGATAGAACATGTTGCTTTTTCCTGCCTACACCTTGTGTTTTGATTGATGATCCATTGTTGTAACTTGTAGTCTTCATACAGTTGCCTCTTTTATTTTGATTGCATTATTTAGTATGACATTGGTATTATTTAGTATTTAGATGTATTGAACTGCACTCATCCATTAAATGGCTGTCCCCATCTTTCTGGTCATCTGTATATGTGTACTACATTACGTTGTAGGGACTTAACCATGAGTGTATACTGTGTTTCAGCATGTTTGTTTTTTTAAATAGAGAGAGACTACGATTATGGAGTCAGCCACACACTTCACATTGATGTGAATAAACTACGAGCCAGTCTTAGAAGTTTCTGGATTTGTTTATTGGAGATGCATTTAAATCATGAGAATCAAAACCACACAGTGTTGAATTTCTTCATTTAGTTGTTATCACCATGTTTCTCTTTTTATTCAGAGCCGTCCTCAGGTCCACCGTGTCCACCACGTCCACCACGTCCACCACCACGTCCACCACGTCCACCACGTCCACCAGGTCCACCAGGTACACGGCCTTCTGGAGGTCCCTCCCCGTGTCCACCTCCTCCACCACGTCCACCTCCTCCACCGCGTCCACCACGTCCACCTCCTCCACCACGTCCACCTCTTTCACCAAATCCTCCACGTTCTTCACCCGGAGGTCCGTCCCCACGTTCTTCTGGAGGACCCTAAACAACCATGAGAAAAAAACATGATGCGGTTTCCTAAAACACAAACAAATACATGGCTGTGAAGGTCTAATCCCAAAAGGCTACCAAAGTTTTTTTTTTACAGCGACTCTGCCCTCTTGTAACAGATCCAGTAAAACGGACAACATAAGCAGACACTGCAATGATGAAAGATATCTAAATAGCTTCTCTTCTCCTCCCCAAGGGAAGAAAACAGCTTCGTATACACATGCTTTTATGCTGTTGGTCACAGGTGTAAAGTGCAGTGAGGAAATAAACGGACTTACCCGATTTCCAGCTAGAATTGAAAAAAAAAAAAAAAAGTGTAAAGTGCAGTGAGGAAATAAACGGACTTACCCGATTTCCAGCTAGAATTGAAAAAAAAAAAAAAAGGTAAAAAAAACAAACAAACAAAAAAGACAAAGAATTAAAAATGTGTCAATTAAGAGAAATTACAAACTAAATAAAATCACACAGTCAAATAACTTTGCAAATGGACAGCAGATAAAAAACATCATAAATGCAAAACTACACCTCAAAATCCAACCAGTTGTCATCAACACAGGACACGCCGTGATATTTAATAATATTCAAATTATTCTGTGTGCTCAGTAAAGTATTCTCTCCCAATTCTCGACAGAAAGCAAATGATTTTTTAGAAATGTCATAATGAAAAAGACTTACATTCACTCATTTTGTCTCGTCGTCAGGTGCAGTAGAGTCTTTCCCTGCAAAAAAAACAACACAAGGATCTTCAATATGAAAACATTACACTTCTGTTCTCAATCAATACAGATCATCAACAGTATCTGCTACATACACACTTGATGGGAAGCGTCTTTAAGGTTCCTGCCTGACGTCTCTGTATTTATAAGGCGTACCGATGCTGCACACAAGCCTCTTGTTGTGAAATGTTTTTGTTTGTTAGACACCAGACAGGTAGGATCTGGGTGTGACCCATTTTCAATAGACTATAATTAAGGGTTCCAAATCAAAACATTACATTCACATGTTGGAAGGCAGACTGGGGCGTAACCAGAGCGGCTGTTGGAATGAAACTGAGCCAAACATAAATGCTAAATCTACTATTAGAAAACTCCCCTTTATGACCAGTACAGTAATTCAATAGTGCGTGTAATGGAGGAAACGTGCTGCCTCGAGTGCATGTGGAAGAACATGAAATCATGTATTTGCAAAAATGTTCCAGTCCGTGGTGAGTCTTTAGAAGGTGTGAAATGTTCAGATATCTGCAACTGTGAATGCTTCCTGCATTTTTAGATACAATTAGTAGTAGTTCATGATAAGATACTACATTTGATTGTTTTAAGATGGTAAAAAAATAAAATAAAATCACATTTATGATTTCTGTTTTTTAAAAAAATCTCATACACGTCCAGATTTCTAACATGACAGAAGGCAGGTGTGGTGGAAATTCTGGAAGAAGTTGATGTAGGACGAGGAGCCCGACACAGAGAGACACCAGAGACTCAGATGACTTATGTTGAAATAAGGTTTACTGATATCAGGGGACGTGACACTAACAGAACAGCAGTTCATGAATGCAATGCCAGCATTAATTCTAAAGATCCCTCTCACACCTTCAGTCTTATATCTTCCTTCAGTGGGAGAGACAAAGATAAGTCGGCGCCTGGGTATAATCTGGCCTTGAGGGCTGCAGGCAATAAGAAATGAACACTGATTGGAAAGAGGTCAAGAATAGAAGATACAGGGTGCATATCTGCTCCAAGCACTAAGGAGGTTTTTTTTTTTTTTTTTTTTTTTAATATTTCTGTTGAACCACAATTCAAAAACAATGTCATGATTTTCAGTAATTTTTGAAATTTTTTTATTACTTTTGTCAATTTCAACTTATTTCAAACAGAAATAATAATAATCCTGCTTATGTCAGAACAGTATTAACTGGGGCGCCGCTATAGCTTACATGGTTGAGCTGGCGTCCTATGTGTAGGGCTACAGTCCCGATGTGGAGGTCATGAGTTCGAATCCCGCTCATGGCCCTTTCCCCCCATTCTTCTCCCCCACTTTCCTCTCTCTCTCGCTGCACTATCGAACAAAGGCCAAAAAAACCCCAGAATTAACTGAGAAATTCCTGCACTGGTTTGTTTGTAAGCGCTCACCACTGCAACAATAGTAACACCCTCCTCGCTGTGCCTGTTTCAAGAAAATAACAGGTATCATAAAAGAGAACACACCTTTCACTGTGCATTAAGACAAACATGCAAAACCAGATCTGAAACGTCACATCAGGTGACCCAAGTCAAGTGCATTTGCAGAAACTCAAACTGTTTTTCTATTTCTAGAACCTGAAATTTGAGAAAGTGTGTTTTGTTTTTTGAACTACAGATGCATCCAAAACCTTGTTAACAGAGAATTCTCATTTTAAATTTCTTTTTTCATGTGTAAATCCGACAACATTTTTGGATTTGTGCCCCCAAACTTAATGAGTTTTGGCAAATACAGACACAGGTGAGCAGCTGTTCCACCTGAACACTCTTTAGTGCTGTGAAACTGTGTGGTGACCTACTTCAGATATAAAAATATCCTGTCAGGTCGTGTTCATTTGGGTGTTATACCCTGAACTGTTTTGCGTCTCTATTAAGCACAGTGCAGGAAACTGAAAATCTGTTTTAAATCTGCAGCCTTTTGCAATTCTATCCATCCATCCTCTATACACCTCTTAATCCTCACTAGGGTTGCGGCGGCCTATCCCAGCCGACAGGACAGGAAAGGACAGGACACCAGTCTATCACAGGGCTACACTTAAAGACATACAACCAAGCACACTCACATTCACACCTATAGACAATTTAGAATCACCAATTAACATGTTTTTGGACTTGTGGGAAGAAGCCGGAGAACCCATGCTGCACGGGGAGAACATGCAAACTCCACGCAGAAAGATCTCGGGTGTCCTCACCGGAACTGGGGATCTTCTAGCTCCCAGGTGATGGTGCTAACCACTGATCCATTGTGCAGCCCCCAATTCCATTCATTTCAGTTTTATTTATATGGCTGCAATTGGGGCGGCTATGGCCCTGGTGGTAGAGCGAGTCGGTCAATGATCAGAAGGTCGGGGGTTCGATTCCACCCTGTAATCTGTGTCATGGTCGTTGTGGCCTTGGGCAAGACACTTCACCCACCTTGCCTGGTGTATGAATGTGTATGAAGGCAGCTGTGGCTACAATCTTAGCTACCAATGTGTGTGAATGAATAATCAACAGTGTCTGCACTTTGAGTTACTCGAGTTAGAAAAGCGCAACATAAAGCTAATCAATTATTGTTATTATTATCTAAATGCAAGTCCTTCCAGGGCCCTTCACATCGTAAAGTCAACACCTTACAGTATCATACTACAGGAACAGCCAAGAAATCCTAACGTTGCCTCCTCAGCAACACTTAGCATCAGCAGGAGGACAACAACTCTGTTTAATAAGAATAAATCTAATCAAATCAAGTTTATTGTTATTTTGCTCTACATACAACAGTAGTACAAACAAGATGAGAGAGTGTCTTCAGGATCCAATAACTTAAAGCAGTTTAAATGCAGAACTGTTTGCATGTCCGGATCAGCAGTTCAGCTTTCTGACAGCTTGTGGCATGAAGCTCTTCATCAGTCTGGAGGTTCTTCCTTTGACGCTCTGGAAGCGTTTGCCTGATGGTAGCAGTTCAAACAGTTTATGGAGAGGGTGTGAGGAGTCCCTGACAATGTTCAGGACCCTGCTCCTGCTCCGGCTCTGGAAGAGGTCTTGGACAGAGGTGAGGGAAACTCCAGCAGAACCAGGCTCAGGAATGGCAGATCTGGACAGCGGAGACAAACAAACAACACATAAGCGAAGGGAAGTGCTGGGGAGGTCAGTAGCTACAGACCAGAAGCCAGCAGAGCCACTGAAGCCTACAGAGAGGACGAAACGCAGCAGGAGATAATATAACTGATAATGTACATAATCACGCCAACATTTCTTTAACTGAGTATTTGTCAGCACATGAGCTTATGAAATAAACAGATGGAAGCAGAAAGCAGACAAGAGTAAATAAAGCCTGTATGAGTCTCACAACTGCTGCTCATCACTGCTAATCACTCTCCCACTAACGCAGCGACTGCTGGCAGTTTAAGGTTTCAAGCTTTCCACACAAAAAGTCTTTTTCTAGTCCGTCCCAGTGGGGGAATGGTTTTGGTTTTCTAATTATTCCTAAAAACACAATCTGATCTTTTTACAGTAATATTGTTTCTTTGTTCAGCTTAATCCTGATTTTATTCCATTCATCCATCCATCATTGATACCGCCAGTCTATCACAGGGCTACACTTAGAGACAGACAACCAAGCACACTCACATTCACACCTACGGACAATTTAAGAATCACCAATTAACCTCAACATGTTTTTGGACTGTGTGGGAGGAAGCCGGAGAGAACCGACGCTGCACGGGGAGAACATGCAAACTCCACGCAGAAAGATCCTGGGTGTCCTCACCGGGACGTGAACCGGCGACCTTCTAGCTGCGAGGCGACGGTTGTAGTTATTCATTCTAATATATTTCTTTGTAATATTATTTATAAAATACTATTTTACATTAGCTTGCTTTCTGCATTTTCTGTTTTTGTTGTTTTTTTTAGTGAGAAGGTAAACAGATTCTACACCAGTCTAAACACATTTAACATAAACTCACAAGCCACTCATCAGGTTCACCCCTCATGTATGTTAAGGTGGTGGACAAAACATAAAAAAAAATGTTTAAATGCTATCCAGTGCACCACTGTGGCCTTAATAATGAGCATAATGTTAAATCATCACCTTTCTGAAGAGATCAAAATAAATAAACTACAGGGCCTTCAGTAAAGGTGTATAGTTGCCCCTGCCGGCCATGATTCGCCATCTTTGAAAACGTGACCTTTGACCTCTAGCCGAGCCATTTTTGCATTGAAATCTACTAATTCTAAGGTGAGGCCATTCCTAGCTCACCTGTAAAGTATCAACTTGTTAGACCTTTGCACTCGACTGTTCACAGACACACACTCACACAGATGGGACCATTACTCTGTATCTTCACTACAGCTGCCCCCTGGTCAGAGAAAACTCTAATGAAGGTAGAATTCATTGCAGAGCTGTTGCACCTGTTGGACTGCATTAGATTTCACACTGAAGGATGCACAGTCTCTGCTCAGGACTCATGTTTTGGAGGGTTTGTCTCCACCTGCTGGTCCTGATGTGACGCTGCAGTTTGTCTCTGCTGCTGGTTTGATGGCGGTGATTCAGTCCACGGGTGGATGCAGCTGATGTCGAGGTGAGAAGCCACAGTTTCACATCGATGCTCCACCTATGCATGTGTTTATTTAAGGTCAGTGTAAACTTTATACTGACAGTTTAAAGCTTATTTCTTCACACAATAAAGAAATAAGCTTTAAACTGTCGGCCTGAGAGTTCATTTGCAATGAAGTTAATGTGCTTTCATCTTTCAACGTACTTACCCAAGCAGTTTTATTTCTCTGGTTGTTCTGCAATATGATTTACTGATAGATGGACGATTTTTAAAGCTCAGAGAAGTTTGAGAGTAAATTTCATGCAAAAATACAGATAATGTTTTTTGACTAGCTAATTAAATAAGTGAAATTAGTTGTGAATGTGAAGCTGCAGCCTGTCCTCACAGCGTCAACATGAGGAGTGACCCTTTGAATGCATTTTACACACACAGCTCACTCCCTGAATGACTGAACCTGGTGATCCCACTGAACATAAGCAAAGATGGTGGTTGGGTTTTTGGCACAGTCTCAGTCTTTGGTTTTTCACTTGATATTTGCATGGTTTTCTAGTTCTTTCAGAGTAAAATCAATAGAAAGCATGAGACACTGTAAAGTGAAATCATCCCACTTTTTTTTCTCTATGTTAACACACATTAATGTCAGTGGATGCCAGCTGGCTAGTAAACTGGTAAACATCTCAGAATGGGTCTGATGTTACAGAATTATAATTTACAGAGCTATAATCATATGTAAAATATGCCTTAAAAACACTTCATTTAATTTGCAAAACTTCATCCATGAAGTCCCACAACATCCCAAATCTTCCATCTTGCTGAAAAAAAAAAGAAAAGACTGTTTATAACCTAATGACAGCAACTTGCAATAAAACAATAAAATGTGTTTCATGACTATAGGACCACCTGTTTAAAGTTAATTTAATGATTAATGAGGCCACATGTTGTATGTAGTTATAGGGAAGGATCCATACACACAATAAAGTCGCTGCTGCAGATATCTGCGATGGAAACAGAATCTCAGATAATGGCAGAATAATAACAGTAAAATAATATTCCAACATTTGTGATCAGCTATGTCATATTATATCTGAGGGCTTTTAACACGTGATCAGAATGGCAGAGGACTAGATCCAGTGCAGGCTGCAAGGTGGCTCGCTGGTTAGCACTGTCGCCTCGCAGCTAGAAGGTCAGCGGTTCGTGTCCTGGACACTCAGGATCTTTCTGCGTGGAGTTTGCATGTTCTCCCCGTGCAGCGTGGGTTCTTTCCGGGTTCTCCGGCTTCCTCCCACACAGTCCAAAAACATGTTGAGGTTAATTGATGATTCTAAATTGTCCGTAGGTGTGAATGTGAGTGTGCTTGGTTGTCTGTCTCTAAGTGTAGCCCTGTGATAGACTGGTGACCTGTCCAGGGTGTCCCCTGCCTTCGCCCTAAGTCAGCTGGGATAGACTCCAGCCCCCCCGCGACCCTAATGAGGATTAAGCGGTGTATAGAAAATGGATGGATGGATAGATCCAGGGCAGGCTGCAAGGTAGCTCGGTGGTTAGCATTGTCGCCTCGCAGCCAGAAGGTTGCCGGTTCGCGTCCTGGACACCCGGGATCTTTCTGCGTGGAGTTTGTATGTTCTCCTCGTGCAGTGTGGGTTCTCTCTGGGTTCTCCAGCTCCGTCCCACACAGTCCAACAACATGCTGAGGTTAATTGGTGATTCTAAATTGTCTGTAGGTGTGAATGTGAGTGTGGTTGGTTGTCTGTCTCTAAGTGTAGCTCTGTGATAGACCTGTCCAGGTGTCTCCTGTCAGCTGGGATAGACTCCAGCCCCTCGCAACCCTAGTGAGGATTAAGCGGTGTATAGATAATGGATGGATGTTTCTAACCTAATGATAGCATATCTAACTACAGCATCTTGCAATAAAACAATAAAATGTGTTTCATGACTATTGGACCACCCGTGGTCATGATTTAAAGTTAATTGAATGATAAATGAGGCCACATGTTGTATGTAGTTATGGGGAAGGATCCATACACACAATAATGTCGCTGCTGCAGATATCTGGGATGCAAAAAATGTCAGAATAATAGTTTGACTGGAACAAACAGTAAAATAGTATTCCAACATTTGTGATCAGCTGTATTATATTATATCCAAAGGCTTTCAACACATGATCAGAATGGCAGAGGACTAGATCCAGGGCTTCTTTTTTTTAAAACTTTAAAACAAAAACACAGAAACATACAAACAAACCTGACATTATTCATAAAACATCCAGAGCTCCAGCTTCACATGGGGCCTACCAATGTAACCGACCCCGTGCATGTGTTTCCCTGAGGTCCTTAAAACAGTTCAAACAGCTCAAGGACCCTTAAATTCTAACAACATCCATGTTTCCTTTCACTTGACCTCGCCTTGATAACAAGCATCCTCCTTCGCTGTGATTGCAAACCTCATCTCAAGCTCAGTTAAGTGGCATTAATGTGATATACTAACATGTTTTTGGCCTTTACAGCATCTTTTTTAAAAAAACATTTCTTACATTAATCCTCAAATACTTCAAATACTTGTACGCTGAAATATTTCGTAAAGAGCTTTGACTCATTAGCAGGATTGATCCACGTAGAATGTAAAGTATGTTGGACGCGAGCATGCTAAAAATGCTCAGACTGGCAACTTTCAACGAAATGTTTGTTCCCGTAATGCCCTGGTAATTGCAGAGCGCTGACTCGGAGTCTCGAGTGACTGACTTCAGTCGCTCGCAGCTCCTCTTGTGCAGACGCCTGTGCCATTTGTCTGCCAGGGCTGCCTGTATGCTGCATGTCATTAGCTCTCCGACTGTGGCAGAAGCAGCACGCCGTGTATGAAGAATTGTGGGAAATCCTTCCACCTCCCCTCCCCTCCCTCCTCCTCCTCCTGTCTTTAGGAAGCTTCTTTAGTACTCCCACCATGTAGTCTGGAGCTCGTAGGGACGCAGCTGTTGAAAGCGCAGTGGGAACAGACAGCGCACGCATCTCATTTGTGATGTCTGCGTGTAGATGGTGGCATGTTTGGATGGGAATGAGGCTCCTGTGATCAGAATGGGAGGGACTCAAGAAGCTTTTCCAAAAAAAAATAATGCGACTAGACAGAATATGCACACTGCAAAATAAATGACCTACACATTTTTCATACATCCTTAAGCTTTAGAAAACAAAAACTTTCAATTAGAGCAAATTATTGACACAACCACAAGCCAAGATCCTAAAAATTACAGCTCAGGCTACTTACACAAAGGGGTTATCTTTGTCTCACAGATAGAAAACCACCAAAAACAAGAGGCTGTAGAGAAACAGGGTTAGAAATAACATTGTTAATGGGTAGAATTTACCCAGCACTGTGTTGGTGCTGTATCCCCCCCAAAAGGATCAATAAACAATAAAATTATTTGCATTATAAGCCTGCTATCCCAGTGATGATCCAGCATTTTAAGCATGAAAGAAAGCTGGAAGTCGTTTTGCTGCAGAGCCTGTGATGACTTAAGGAAAAATGAGTTTTTAATTTTTGTTTATTATGACGTCACAGAGGGTGGCAGGATTTTAACCAGCATGCTCTGAGCTGAGGATAAGTGAGGAGGGGAGAGAGAGCAAGTGCTTCACGGGGGGGACAGAGGGAGCGAGAGAGCATATATGCAGCAGGGTTTGGAGAGAGAGAGAGAGAGAGAGGGAGAGGGAGAGGGAGAGAGAGGGAGGACGAGCGGGTGGGTGCTGTGAAATCCGTTAACAGGGGAGCTCTGTGCATTTGTTAGACGTCTTGGCCGCTTGCCCAACTTGGCTCATTGTAATCGAGGCATGATCGTCGACTCCAGGCAGCCCTCTCTGCCGCCTCGGCTGCCTTGCGCCTGGACCCAGCCCAGCTCTTACCGCTGACATGGAAAGACCCGTGAGTGCCTTCTCTCTCGCTCTCCTTCCCCTTCTCATCCCACACTCTGCCTCGCTGGTGTTAGGTTCGCCCCCCTTTCTCTTTCCTCTCCTGCTCTGTCGCAGATTTCGCTGTGGCTACATGCAGCGCTGTATCTCTGGCTCTTTCTCTCCCCTGCTGTCGCTCCTGTAGGAGGCAGGAACGCTGGGTAGGGAGGAAGCCTTGGCAGCGTTCTCTCTGCAGGCCCCTTCCTCCCCCCTCCTCATCTCTTTTTGCCCGCCTGTCCGGGCATGGGTGCCGTCCGCTGGCAGACCCACAACGCCTCTGTGTGCCTTTGATTGTGCGTGCATGTTAGCCGTGCTGCTGCACTAGCACAGAACCGGCCGGCAGAACCCAGAGGTTCACACACACACACAGAGAGTCTCCCCCACTTTGATTTTGTGGAGGCCGGCGCTCACTTCAGTCTCCGCCATTGGGCTCGCTGAGATTCGGCAGCGTGTCTCTCCGTTGCGCCTATTCTTGGTGGTATGTCCTCATGGTCTGTTGTGTTTGGATACCCTGACAACTAGAAGCTGTGAGGTAACCACTTTCCAGTCTGCTGCCTCTCTGAGTGAGTCCAAACTTTTTCTCATGCTCGCTGTGTCCTTGCCGGTTTGTTGTTATTTTACCAAAAGTCTGCGCTGACAGACTACCGACCCGAGATCCGGTCTCTCTGATGGTAAGATCTGAGTGCACAAAACTGAGCTCCAACATCTCAGCGGCAGCCATGCTTTGCAGGCGTATCAGCGGCAGCAGCAGCGATGGAAAAAGCATGAAAGAATTCCTCGCAGTCACAAAATAATGGTCTTTGTGCGATCGCTAGCAGTGAGTCACTATTCTGTGCGAGTAATATCACATAGAAGCAACCTTGACTCGTGTGTCGTCACTGGGGCAACGGTGGAGGATGACTGACTCACTTTGGCACATCTACCTCCCGTCTCTGTCGAAAAAGGGTCTGACCCCTCCGAATAAATTAAACGGAGTGCGGAGAATGGGACGCTTCAAAATGAATTATGTTTTTTTCACAGTTGCGACAAGCAGAAGTGGCAACTTTTCTATTTGGCAGCGTTATTGTCACTTCTCTGGAGCTGTGAAAAACAACAGATGATGCCAGCTTTAGCTGACTGAGCGCGGATCTCCTTTTTTGACAATGACTGTCACTCATTGAATATTATCCAAGTACTGCTGTTTGTGTGTGAATGACATCTTTCTGAAGAGATGAAGAAAAATGGTGCTGGCTCGCAAGAAGAAAACAAAGACCGAGGAAGCCACAAACTCATAACTGGGATCCTTTTTTTTTTTTCTTTGCAGTTTTGGCACATATTTGTGAATAACATCACTGTCTGTCATGAATCCCACAGAGCTGTTACTTTTATAAGATAGATTTTGGTGTCCTCAAGCTTATATTACAGTTAGAAGCTCCCTCCACTCACATGTCATGTGCAGGTACTTCATGTAAACAGTGGCAGAATTTTTTTAGAAAAATGCTGATTTGCTTTTTTTGCTGAGCGTTGGATGAAAGATCGAAGTGACTCTTACATCTGTATGCTGAACATGAAGGCTAAAGCCAGCAGCTCTGTAGCCTGGATTAGCATAAAGACTGGAAACTATAGACTTTATATATATATAAACATATCCTCCAGGTTTGAAAAGTGATGCTCATGGAGATTCCTTTAACGTGCATTCTCTCTAACAGCCAGCAGGGGGCGACTCCTCTGGTTGCAGAAATAAGCCTGATTATACAGAAGTCTACAAGAAAGTGAAACTACTTTTCACTTAATTTGTTTCTTTAGTAAAGACTTTCTAAGTGAGTTTATTGTCTCAACTGCTACTTTCAGGTCTTCTTCAATACAGCACAGAGCAAATTTTGTAAATTATTGTCTCATTAGGAAGAAAATAGGCGATGAAGCAGGGAATGTCTGTGTAGACTCTCAGTCATCGAGGTCATGGTTGTCCTAACTGCTTCAGTGGAGGGCAACAGGACTTGTTTTTTGTTCTTGAAGGCGAGTCACCTCTTATCCAAGAACGTCCTTAGTTCTACCGTTCACACCTGAAGGCATGTGAGCCATGAACCATGTAATTTGCAGATGAAAATAAATAGTTGCAACTCCCTCGTCAGTCATTTAGAACTGAAGAAACCTCCTGAATGAGAGGTGAAACGTCTTTAGGAACCAAAAAGAGAAGTGCATTTGCTACTGCAGCACTTATTAAAGCAGTGGATGCTGATTGTGATTGACAAGTCGCTACCAAGATGGCGACTGCCAGATTCCAAATTCAAGGCTTCAGAACAGTCGTTCACAAACCAATCGGTGACATCACAGTGGCCATGTTCATCTTTTATGAGCAATCTATGCTGGTAAAAACAGCTGACCGAGCTCTGTCTAAAGATAACAAAATCCATTTACCGGGACCTTTAAAGTTCACAAATGTATTATTTTCTTTGATAAAAAACTAACCATGACATGTGGGTTATAGCAGCATTTGTAGCCAGAGCAGTTCAGCAGCCTGGCAGCTGTACAGTGACAAGAACCCTTCAGACACATAATATCTGTGTGATAAGCTAAGCGAACCGGCTGGTGGGTGTAGCTTTATATTTAGAGATTCAATCTTCTTCTCTGACTCTTGACAAGACAGTGACCAAGTGTGCTTTCTGAAACGTCTAACCTTGAAACAAGCGGCCGCGCAGCAGTATTAATGCAGCATGTTCAACTCTGACTTGCCATGCACCTGACCTGCGCTTTAAAGAAGGCGACATTCTCTCCCAACCCTCGTGCTGCAGAGAGCTCCTCCTCCCCCAGGCCTCTGAGGCATAAGGTTGTGCTACAGCCGCTCTGAAGAAGCAGACTTTCCTCACTCTGCACAGACCAGACCATAGAGTGAACATTAGGTTACTGCCGGCCTGGAGGAAATGAGATCTTTGTGTTGCAGATAGCTGATACGTCCCCATTCTGCGAACACTGGTGCACATTTGAGTGTTGGTCAACTCGGCTGCAGCTTTTGTTTTCATGTTTGCAGTCGTTAAAACGTGTTAAAGTGAGTTTCTCCTGAAAGTTAACGCACACGTAGCTGCTGCTCCATGAGAACACACGGGGCCTCTTGTCGTATGAGGAGGTGTGCTCTGCTGACCGCACTGAGATGTTTAGGATGCTCCGCATATGCATTCTGCCTGTGTAACTGAGCTTCCTAATGAATGCTCCATCTGTGGTGGGTGTGAGGGTGTGTTAGTGTTGTGTGCTGAACATGCAGTGCAGTGACACAGGGGCTTTGCATTTTATAAATGATTAGTCTGTCCCCCTCTGTCTTCATTTCTGTTGTATTTACAATTGTAAATGACTGTTAAAGGTTGTAAATTGTATTTTTGTTGCTGTTTTATGGTACTTTTATCATTTTGTGGTTTAAACTCACAATATATACAAAAATAAAAGACACTTTTTTTATACAGTGAAAATGTGTGCATAGTAGGTAGTGGCACTATAATGATAGATAGAT